GAACATTTTTCATCAAAATGGTTATTCACAACGGTTAGAAAAACACGTTTAGCCTCCTGTGCTCACTCAGGTCTGTGACTCACACATCCTCCCCAGGGCTTGTGGTTGCTGGAGCTGGGGACTGACCCAGGGATTCTCCCATATGAAGTGGGCGCTCACCCCTGAGCCAAAGCCTTCCTCTGCATGCTTTAAACATGCTGGTAATAGGCACATATGAGCTCCTCTCTTACAGAAAAAGGAGAGAAGCAGATGGAGTTCCCAGGGACTGAAGAGCCACACGGCAACTACCACTCAGAGCAAGATCAAGAGGGTCCCTCTGCAGATGCCTCACAGCACAGGGAGCCCAGTTGAAATGAATAGTGGCCCCCACTCCTGTCATGTGACACCAGACTGGCAGCTAAGAACAACTGCAGACAGGAAGGACAGTCCATCACTTGTCCAGAGTAGGTTTATTTTGACTTATAAACTGCTTTCAAAGTTATGTGTAAATTCTTTAAATGTGATTTTAGGTAACCTGGAGAGTCTCGAATGAGCATTGTTGGGACTGGATGACTGAGCTCCCTTTCAACCTTGAATTCTGAGATGCTAAGGAGACAATGGTCCTGGTAGTTAACAAACAGACAAAACCATGACTATGGCCAGGCATGGTGGTGCACATTTGCCATCCCAGCAACATGGGAGACCAAGGCAGGAGGATCCCGAGCTCAGTGATACCCTGTCTCAAAATAAAAAGAGCCAGGCGCAGTGGCGCATGCTTATAATCCCAGCAGCTTGGGAGGCTGAGGCAGGAGGATTGGAGAGTTCAAAGCCAACCTCAGCAAAAGCGAGGCACTAAGCAACTCAATGAGACCCTGTCTCTAAATAAAATATAAAATAGGGCTGGAGATGAGGCTCAGTGGTCGAGGGCCCTTGAGTTCAACACCCGGGAACCCTCAAAAAATAAATAAATAAAAAGGCTGGGGATGAAGCTCAGTGGTAGAGCACCCCTGGGTCCTATCCCCAGTACCACACCAAAAAAAAAAAAAAAAAAATCATGGATCTAAAAATCAGGAGGAAGACCAGATTTCTGTCCTGTAGTTTCACATCATGTCAGCTTGTGAAAAAGGATGGAGAGGAAAGACAAAGAGAAATTAAGGAAATAAACCATCTCACATTTGCGAAGTCTTTTCATGTTATCTCTTAATCCCTCAAATTCTGCTTACAGGCACAAACTGAGGCAGCACCAGGGAGTGACAGCAAGCGGTTAGAGGCTGACTAGAAAGAAAACAGACTTCCGAGCTGGTGTGACAGGCTAAAGGGGCTCTTCCCAGTGTCTTCAGGATGCCTTCCTGTGAAGATGCCCAGCCCTCTGCAGGAACCACAAGGAACACGCTCCGATCTGTACGTCAGAGGTTGAGTCCAAAACCGTGGCATAAGTCACACTGACATCCACAAAACTTAAGAGTGAGGCAAGGTTAAGGCTTTCTTCTAGACGTCTGCAGCCACCAAACCATTCAAATTTCAACATGTTTAGCAGAGGAAACACAAGACTGCTACCACAAAAAAAAAAAAAAAAAAGCTCATTTTAGCTACTTTAAAAGAAAAACAGTTCATTCACATGCTTGAGATGCAGAGTAAGCATCCTGAATGAAACCAGTGAAGAGCAAAGAATCCTTTTAAGAGAAAAAAAGCACTGAGCAGGTGAGCCTCATCTTGCTTCTTGAGCATCAAAACACAATATGCAAAAATAAAGATCTCGATTCCCCCCCTCCACACCAGCTCTGGTCAGTGAGTTTTGCAAGGACTGTGGTTCTTCACAGCTGTTTGTAATAAATGGTTGGTTAATTCAAATCTGTTCCTCTAATCTTCCTCCCTGAAACAAACAGGATATTGGTCTATTATTATGAAGCTGATAGTCTATGTTTTTCTTTTCCAGTTAAAGAGCATTTAGAAAAAACTTCTATGAATTTTGCATGTCTATGTTTTTCTTTTCCAGTTGAAGAGCACTTAGAAAAAACTTCTATGAACTTTGCATATTTATCTTCTATTGACTATCAAATTCTGTTCCACACTGTCTTAACTTTACACTACCAGACACCCCTAAACCAGGACCATCTCCTCTCAGCCAACTCTATGTGCCAGAGATCACTTGCTCTTCCAGGCAAAGTTCCTCTTATGTTTAGTCTTGTATTTGAGCAAAACTGAACCTTCTACCTGCCAACTAGATCCTGCCCAACTCCCTTCACCTCTTTGTCTACTCTTTTCATTTGTAACCTGTTTATACAGGCTCCCTCCTTGCAGTCTGTAAACGAGATCAGAGGTCCCTTGTCCCAAAAGTTGCCTATTATCAGTGAGGCCAGGAGGCAGTGGGGCAGAGAGGGAGGGATCAAAGAGCTCTTGCAATCTGCACTTGGGTCTGCTTTACATTGTCCATGTGCTCACTCCCAGCCTCTCCTCTCCACGTCCTAGTCTTGTTGTTCCAACCTAGCCAGCGGCACTTCTGCCTTCCCAAGGAGGGGGAATTTCCTGAGGTTTATCCATGGGTGCCACCTCTTTTTCACAACTTCAGCCCTCTGCCCTGAATGCTGTTCAGGCCCAGGCCCTCATTTCCACCTGTCTCCCTCGGCCTGTCTTGCCTGTGCCTTTTGGCATCCTTACCTCCAGTTCCACACACACCATAGCTAGAGAAACACACTGGAAGCATATGTCAACATATGCTACATAACATTTCCCAAACTAATGTGTGTGAATTACATGGTCCAGTGGGTCTGAGGGGGTACCTGATTATGGAGTTCTGCTGCACTCCAAGGGGATGGTACTATTAAATAGCATAAGGGGACACAGGGACAGACAGACAGACGGACGGGGACACACACACACACACACACAATAACCCCAATCTAGCCTCATCTTCTACTTGTCTAGCCTCATCTTCTACTACTCCTCCCTGCCCAGCACACATCTGAATCTCTCTGACACAGCTTACATACACCACAGATGTACATGGAACAAGACATTTTCTAAATGTAATTTCCTGCCTTTGTGTCTCTTGCCGATTTCTCAACTCCAATGTCTATCAGAATTCTACCCACTTAGAACCACAGCCTCTGGGACAGGAGTCCCCTGTGTTTCTCCTTTGCTAGGAAAGCAATAATCCTTCTTTTTCCTTTTTTCTAAAAAAAAAATATATATATATATATATTTACCCACTTTTCAAGAACTCACTCATCCTGCTACAGCATGTCTCACCCAACGAACACCACGAAAATCCTGGGACACCTATGACACTAATCTGCACTGCTCCTGCTCTGTACTGCCAACAGTGGTCTCCTTATTTCACTCTCATGCTGGACTACACCCTCCTAGGAGGGCAGGGGCTGCCTGCTCAGCATCTGTAAACCCAGGGCATCTCCAGCTCTGGTCAGTGACAGTACTTGTATTCTAGAAAAACAAAATATCCTACTCCATATAATTTGCTGAGCAGCTGCTTCAGAAGCTTCTTTAAGAAAAGCTCTTCAGAAGAGCTGACTCATTAGCAAGTCTATGACAATTTTGTGACATATGTTACTTAAAGTATTCAAATATAAACATTCAAATGGTACCTAAAGAAAGTTACCACTTATGCTATTTATTGTACTCTCCAGGCATACAGATCAAGGTTCTGATACTTGACTAAAAATTAAATCTAACATGTTATGATCTAGTAATTACTATATTGTAAGTTTAAGATACTTTGTGATCCTAATTCTTGCCCTCCTGGCTTAATGTACCTAATGCTCCTTTTATCCCTTCATCATTCCATTTGTTAAGGAGCACACCACATTCTTCCACGTTTGCTAGGACTGGACGGCTGCAGAAGATTTTATTTACCATTATCATGTCTTGGGTTTGCATTAAGTCTTTGAAAAGTGCTTTAAAACATGTACCTCAAAGCAATATGTTTAAGGCGGCTAAGAAATCCTACAAGTTCCGTATATTACTGTTAATACAGCAGCCCCTTACCCCCACCCCCGGCTTGTCTTCCTGTTATATTAGCTGTTAATAAATCAGCCCCTTACCCCCACCCCCGGCTTGTCTTCCCAAGACCTGAAGACCTCGCTCACGCTGGGCAAGCGCTCGAACCTCAAAACTACATCTCCAAACCCAGTAAAGCCTTCGGTATCAAGGAGCGGCCAGTATTCAAGAACCTAACATGCATGGCTCCTAAACTTTTAGAGCGTTCAGGAACTGTCTGCGGCGCTCATTAAAAAAAGCAGATCTAGCTCCTGCCCGGCAGAAGCCCCATTCAGCAGCCCCGGGGTGGAGCCTAGAAAACTACACCCAACCCACATCCCAGGTGGTTTTGATGCAGGTGCTCCGCAGACCTCAATTAGAGGAATACTGATCGCAGCCCGAGTCGGGGACACCGCGGAGCCGTGTCTGAAGGAAAACGTAGACTTCCCTTCCGCAGCCCGTTCTCAAAACAGCTGTCACCGCAGCGCAGGCACCGGGTGATTCCCGCAAGGCAAAGAGGAAGGGGAAGGAAAAGGAGGCTTGGAGGACGAAGAAAGCCCGGAAACGAGGACAACCCGCGAGTGAGGCTTCTTTCCAGCCCGCCTGCGCCCGCCCGGGCTGCAAGGACGCCTCCCCGCCCGCAGCCAGCGGCGAACACCCTCACCTGCCGCGCGGCCGCAGTTCGGCGGCGTCGGGATCCGGCGCCCGCGGATCCTGCTCCCCCGCGGCGGCGGGCAGCGCCTCGGCGTCCTCCACCGTCACCTCGGCCGCCCCGGGCCCCGCCGCAGATGTCGAGGTGGGGGCGGCCGCGGCGCCCAAGCCAAGCGCCGGCGCGGGGATGCGCGCGCGTCCCGCCGCTCCGGGCCGCGCCAATCCCAGCAGCAGCGGCAGCAGCAGCAGCAGCAGCAGCGCCCGCGGCCCCGGGCGGCCGGCGCGTGCCATCAGCGGCCCGGCCCGCGAGCGCGCATGGAGGTGCCGCCGCGCGCCGCTCCGAGCCCCAACCAGCGCAAGACGTTCCAGAGACCAGCAGTCGTCCAGACGGTCCCAGCAGCCCGCCGCGCTCCGGCCACGTCTCAGCCCGGCAGCGGGAACCGCCTCCTGAGTGACAGCCGCCCGCTGGCAGCGCCCAGGAGCGACGTCGGCTGTGTGCTCTCTGATTGGCTGCGGGCCTTGCTACTCTGCAAAGGGCGGGCTCTTCTTGATGGGCCACATCACACCTACCAATCAAATCGTGTTTCCATTCCTCGTAGCCTGGCTCTTTTCCGGACGGCGTTACCAATGAGAAATGCCCAGCCCCGAGTGCTCCTCTCTGATTGGCGAGCTCGGCAGTTCCCGGAACACCTTTTCTGAAGCAGATTGGCCATCCTGGTGTCTGGCCTCGCCTCCCAGGGGGTGGGCTGCTGAGGACGTGACTGTCGGTGGTGGAAGTGGATGCCCTTCAAAGGGCTGAGCTAACCGCTTCTTGATTGGTTGGAAGCTGCACTTACTACGTGGCGGATTCTGACTGTGAAGGTCTGGACGGACCCCCGGGAAAGGAGGAGTCGGGGCTAAGTCCCTGGTGGCCGGGAGGCTCCGAGAGTAAAGAGGCTTTGGCTGCGGCGCCTCCGTGTCTGTTTGGAAAGGCAAAAGCGAGTCAGAAAAAAAATAAATAAAGCGACTGCAGAGCGGTATGATCTGGAGGTACCTGCAGGGATGGGGCGGTGCAGGGGACAGCCCTGTGGCCTGGACGCTGGTTAGGGATTCAGGGACCTGTACATAACCCCGTCCGCTCCTTACCGACTGTTAGGGCCCGGCCGGTGCACTCACGTCATTGTCCAAGGTCACAGAGCAAGTTACAGAATAGGACTTCAGAGTTCTCTGACTCTGGTGTGGCAGGCTTTGTACCTCCCGCCAGGCTGAAACCATCAAGATGAGACGCAGAGCCCGAAGTGGAGATGCGAATGGCCAATCAAGGCTTGCGAACTTCTGCAGCAGTTAAGAACGCCCGGGAGATTTTTGAGCAGATGAAAGGAACGATTAGTTGCACCCTTCATCCGTGTGTTCAGAAGAGTGGAGGTGAAGATGACACCTCTTGGAAACCCCAAGAAGAGTTCTTAGGAGGCTGGCAATTTGTGTATATACTTACGTGATTCCCCATGCGCGTACAAGCATGTTCTGTTTACTCCCGTCCAAAACAAAGCAAAACCTGATCTCCCTCTCCAGCTCTCACCACGTTGCTTTGCCCTCCTGCACAGCAAAACTCTAGACTCCTGTCTTCATTTCCTTTCTCCCATTCTTAGGCTCACTACAGTCAGGACTTCCATCCTAAACTTCACCAGAATCGTTCTGGCAGTTGCTAGCAAAGGGCCGCTCTTCCGTGCCACATTTGACTCAGCGACTCAGTCCTTGCCTTGTGAAATACTTTCCCACTGGTTTTCCTGCTTCCCCATAAGGCAGTCACTGGGACTGGGATGGTGCCCCAGTCACTCAGAACGGGAGCCAGGCCTCACGTAGACCACAGGGTGCCCCAGGATCTGAGTCCCATGCCTCTTATTTCCTACTATGTGCACACTCTGTCCTGACCCTGTGGCCGCCTTGCTGTGATAAAGCCAGGTCCCACCTAGGGGTCTTCCTGTGAGCTTTGCCTGCCTAGGACACTTCCCTGTGTATTAGTGTACGGAGGTTGCCATGTCCAGCACCACAGACTGAGTGGCTTAAACAATGGGAGTTTAATTTTTCACAGCTCTGGAAGCTGGAGTCCAAGATCAAGGTGCCACAGGATAGGGTTCTTCTGAGCCCTCCTTGGGCTGTAGATGGCCACCCTCTTGCCTCTTCACTTGCCCAGGCACCCTTGCTGGCTCTCTCTTCTTATAAGGACATATCAGTCATATTGGCCTCATTTTAACTTAGTCATGGCCTTAAAGATCTTATTTCCAATTACAGTTAATTCTGAGGGTGGGAGTTGGGATTTCAACAATATGAAATACAGATTTAGGGGGGATAGAACACAACTCCATAACACCCAGATAGCCACAAGGTGTGTTCCCTTAGTCAAGGTTTTATTACCTCACTATCAAAGCACCTCCTGCACACCTTGTTTAAAACTGAACTGCACCCCTTTACTTCCTGCATGCCTTCCCTGCTTTATTTCTCTCCTTAGCCCTTAAAAACTAATTGCCATATTTGTTTTGTTTACTGTCTGTCTCCCGCCACACACTGATATTCTGTGATGATTTGCTCATTGACGCACTCCAAGAGCCCTCACACAGGGCAAGGTGGCCATAAGCTTGAGTAGATGTTTTTGAATGGATGCATAAATGCCTGGAGATGGGGGACAGACAGCAGACATCATTTCAACAACCAGAGATACAAAAACAGAGATACATGCTGAGATGGACAAGGTGCAGGCAGAAAGCCATGGTAATGGAAGGGCCATAAAGAGCCTTTCTCTCACTCAGGAAGAAACAAGCAAATGTTTCCATTTTGAAAAAAAAAATTTTTTTTTTAAAGTTCTTAGTCGAGGTCAGTTGACTGGGACAATAACTTGAAGGAGGGTCTCTCTTGAAAAGCGCCTGCCAGGTTTAGGTGGGATGGAGTCCTGGTGACTAGGCGGGAGCTCTGGGAGCTGAGTCTGAGTGCCTCAGGGAACAGTAAGAAAGTGGGACCCAGAGTGACAGATGGTCAATGTGCCTGAACCAGGAGAAGCTGGCACTTAGCCACCCTGAACCAGGGCTGCCAGAACAGCGAGCTTAGACCAGGAGGTCAGCAAAACAGGGCTGAGATTTAGGAATTGAAAGTGCATTAACAGTTGAGGATGGGTTTGGTTGTAAATATCAGAAACATTCACCAGTGGCAAAGATGCATGCAGGGTTTATTTTTCTCCAGCAGCCCCACAGTGATTTAGACTTATGCTCTATTCTTCTATACTTCAGGTATGTCCCTCATTTCTCCTGGTGGTCATCTCAACTCCAGCATCACTCTCTACAGGAAGAGAAAGGGAAGCACAAGAGCGTGTAACACTGGATCTGTCCTATCAAAGGGCTTTCCAAGCTTCTGTTTGCGTCTCACAGATCAGCCTGTTTCAAACAGCCACCGAAGTACAAGGGAAGCTAATGCCAATGCGGAAGGAAGGGGTACTTGCAACCAGCCTTACTGAAGTCTGACCCATGTCCCCCATGCTGCACCTTCTGGGAGGATACCCGTGGGCGAGTTTCAATAAATACATACACGGCAGTCGAGATACAGAAAGTCCCCATTTCTGTCCTTGGGCCCTTTTTAAGCAGTCAATCCCTCCTCCCATCTTGGCCCCAGATAATCACTGATCTGTTTTCTGTCACAATAAATTAGTCTGCCTTTTCTGTAATCTTTAATGCAATCGTATAGTATAGACTTTGTCTGGCTTCCGATGTTTCTGCCATTTCCATAAGAAAACTTTGCTCTGGCTAGATCAGTAAGCTCTGGGTGAAGAATGTGAGACTATAAATTTTTGCTGTTTTAAGTCACTGAATTTTGCCAATAGATAACTAATACAGCACAGCAGATTAGTGTGGCAAATTCTGCTGGAGGCCTACCAATAAAAATTCTTCCCCTTATGAATACTTCGAATAATGTGTCAGCAGAGGAGAGAAACCTGCCAAATAAGTGCATTAAAGGATACTCAGAATCAGTGTTCTTCAGAGAACTGCAAGCCCAAACCACGTGGGGGGCCATTGCCTACACACTAGATGACTAAAATTAAGAGCCACAATAAACATATTGTGTTACATCCACACAATGGTATGCTCCCCAGCAATGAGGAGGGACCATGTTGATCCCCTACAACCTGGGTGCATTCAAAGCCCTGTGCCAGGAGAGAGAAGGCAGATCCCAAGGCTGAACTGTCGGAGGCCTTCTACATCCTGGAAAAGGCAAAAACTGGAGTGACCAAAGGAAGGGCCACAGAGGGTGGCTGAAATAGTCCCAATCTTGGTTGTGGTTGTTTGTGTACAAGTATATAAAAACTCAGAAGTATACACCTGAAAAGGGAGGGTTTACTCTGCCGTCACATCTGGGTGACCATGGAATGAAGACCATGACTGGAGCGAGTTCTCATGGCAGTCAAGAAACGCAAAAGGCCAGCCCACCACACACGTGGGTGTCAAACCTCGGCTCTCCTGGTGGCTGAAGTTCCTAGGTGTTGGGTCGACCTCCCTCTCCCCTTCCAAGGTGGCTGTGGGAAGGGACTTTCCACTGGCTGAGTAGACCTGAAATGGCCAATCAGGAGCTGACGTGGCAGGACCCCAATCACCAGGGTTCTGGCTGAAGCAATCTCCTGGTCAACTCAGCCACTAAGAAGGTAGAGGCAGCAGGATGGCAAGTCTGAGCCCAGCCTGGGCCACTTAGCAAGACCCTGTCTCAAAATGAAAAACAAGCACTGGGGATGCAGCTCAGTGGCACAGCATGCTGGGTTCAGTCCCCAGTCCAAAATAAATAGAAATAAGTAAAAAATAAAAGAACTGGGATGCAACTCAGTGGTACAATGGGTTCAATCCCCCATGTTAAAAAAAAAAAAAAAAAAACTGCCACCACCAACGAAGCCCAGAGAACTTTACAATACTATACTCATGGAAAATATCTTTTAAAAATGAAAACGAAAAGCTGGATGTGGTGTGCAGTGCCCCACACCTTTAATCCCAGTGGCTCAGGAGGCTGAGGCAGGAGGTCATGAGTTCAAAGCCAGCCTCAGCAAAAGTGAGGCCCTAAGCAATTCAGTGAGTCCCTGTCTCTAAGTAAAATACAAAATAGGGCTGGGGATGTGGCTCAGTGGTGGAGTGCCCCTGGCACTCTCTCTGCTATGCCCCCCCCCAAAAAAAAAAATGAATGAAGGGCAGGAGAACTGAAGATAATTATTGGAAAAAAGTAAATTTGAGGATGAATATCAATGAGAATATATTGTTGTCTAGACCAACACTGATGTCTCTGGGGTTCTGAATACATGTACTGTTGAAGGCATGTAATATTAACATACATGAGACCACACAGGTGGAAATAGCCAGATGCAAATAAAGTGGTCAAAGATCTTTACATTGTTTGGAAAAATAAAGGGGTGATTTTTGTCATACTGCACTGGGTCAAGGATACATGCTGTGATTCTAGGTTGAGATCTGAGGGAATAATAGAAGTCGTATGTACAGCTATCAAGCTGATGGAGGTTATTGAATAACAAAACTTGGTCCACACTACACTGGGATTTATCCAAAGTGAGCAAGAAAGGAGAGAAACAAAGAACAGGCGGAACAAGTAGACAAGGAAGACGGAACTGTAGATTCAAACCACGAAATATCTGTGATTCCATGAAACATGCACAGGATCAGAGCCTCTCTCAAGAGCCAGTTTATCAGGCTGAGTAGAAGATCAAAGACAAACCTTCAAGGGAAGACCTGTTGCCAAAGGATGGTCCTGCAAACCACCGTGAAAGGAGAGCTGCTGTAATGGAGAAACTTTTTTATTTTTACTTTTTGGCAGCAGGATTAAATCCAGTGGTGCTTAACCACTGAGCTACATCCCAAGCGCTTTTTAGTTTTTAATTTTTTTATCTTGAGGCAGGGTCTTGCTAAGTTGCTTGGGGCCTTACTAAGTTGCTGAGTTTGGTCTTGAACTTGTGATCCTCCTGCCTCAGCCTCCCGAATCACTGGGATTATAGGCATGTGCTGCCGTGCCCAGCTAATAACTATTTTTCAATAGATATTTTTCTTTTTCCTTTTTTTTTCCTTTTTCCTGCCCCCCCCCAGTACTCAGGGATTCACATATGCTAACTGCTCTATTTTTAGAGCAAGTTTAAGCTTACAGCAAACTTATGCTTCCAATACAAAAATTCCCCACTATGGTACAACGAACCCAAACTGACACATGATTATCACACAGTCTGCAGTTCACAATAGTGTCCCCACTGGTGGTGTACCTTCTGGTGGGTTTGGACAAATGTGTAATGCCATGTCTCCACATAGTATCATCACAGAATAATTTCACTGTCCTAAAAATCATCTGTGCTCCACCTATTCATGCATCCTCCTTAATTCTTCATCTTATCTACCCTACCTACCTGTCTATCTACCTTATCTATCCATCCATTCATCTAAATCTCCAGAAGAAAGATAAGAGTTACCTTTGGGAAAACAAGGGTTGCTAAGGGACAGGTTGTGGAGGGCAGAAGGGAGGCATTTTCCTTCCTTAGCAGGTTTATTAGGATATAATTCACATACCATATGATTCTCCTATGTAAGGTGTAGAGTTCAATAGTTTTTAATATGTTGACAAATTGTGCAGTCAGGACAGAGATTTTTTCCATATTTTTACTAGTGCTTTGCAGTTGTACGTAAAGATGGAATTTGTTGTTACATTTGTACATGCAAATGATGTAACAATATAATTTGGCAATTTCCCCTTTCCCTCTCCTCCTCACCAGGAGGGAGATTTTTAAGCATGGATCTCCTTTGGTTTAATAACCAAGGTCCCCATCAACTGCTGCCATTTAAATAGATAAGTGAACAAGACCAACAGTCTGTTTTCCCCTGCCCTTGGCCTGTCGTGGGTGGGCAGTCCTGGGAACCCCACAGTTTTCTGTTGATCCCATTGCTTCACTTCCAATGATGGGTTAAATGCCACCCTGAGGCTGTGCCACAGTCTGGCTGGGCACAAATGCTGCAGTCTGGCTGAGCACACAATCACAAGCCACCACACAGCTTGTAGATTCAAACAGCAACTCTTTATTCCCGAACTCACACCATCCGTCTACAATCACGTTCTGGGGAAATCCACGTTCTCTGCCCAAATCCACTCCACTGGGCTTCTGTCTCCCCAAAATACTGTCTGAATCCCGTGAGAACTCAAGGGGAACTCAGGCAGCAGGATACACCCTATTCCCAGCGGAATAATCTTAAACCTTAAACCTGGAACCTAAACCGGGAATGCCCTAATCCGCCTTGGTCCTTGAGCAAGGTCACCTACATTCAATGTCACTGCAACATGGGGTACGCTGGCAAGGAAATTGTCATACCTACTTGGCTAATGGCTCCCAGCATCTCCCCCCTTCTGATTAATTAAACAACAAGCAATGTGGCTTAAGGACCGTGCCTGGTAGGTTGTCCAATTCAACATATGGTTCTTACCCGTCATGGGAAAAACTGACCTTTAGGCGTCAGCCTCCTGTCTTAGGTTGATACCACTGAAATTGAATCATACCCGTCACTGACTACCGGTCCAGCATACAGCCATACTTGTGGATAGGTCTATGCACCAGTGGGGGGGTGAGGTTCTTTGCCTCACCTCTGTTGGCCCCCAAATTTGGCCTTGGTGCCAGTGGGGGAGTGAGGTTAATGTGGCTTAAGGACCGTGCCTGGTAGGTTGTCCAATTCAACATATGGTTCTTACCCGTCATCGGAAAACTGACCTTTAGGCTTATGTACATTTTTTGGATACATGTGTCTTTCCGCAGCACTAAGTCCTTATGAATCCAAATTTAAAAAGTTTAGAGTAAAAAGGGTTATTTTAAGTTTATCTTTGGGGGATATATACCCCTTTCCAATTCCCTCTTTTTTGCTTTAATAAGTACATGTCTGTATCTAATAGTTGTCTTAGCCTTTTGCATTTTCTATCTGAAACACCTTACTTGACATTTTCAACCATTTTTTATCTTATTTCTATCTTCTAGTTTTGTTTTTTTTTTTTCCCTAAGGTTTGTACATTCATCCTTAGTTGCTTTTTTTTCCTCTTAGTTTTCCTTTGTTTCCTATTTTGTGGGTTTAAAATTATTGTCTTCCTACATTTTTTTATCTTCCTACATCTTTTCTATCTTTTTTTTCTTTTTAACTTTCTATTCTTCTGTCTTTAAAGTTTTTCACTTCAAATTTTTAATCTTTTTTATCTAAATATCTTTTATCCTATTATCTTCCCATTTTTTTTAAGTAATGCCTTTAAGATTAACTAGGCTTCGAATGATGCAATAAAGCAATCTTTTTTCCGCCATGAAGGTATCTCGACCACCTTCAATTTAACCTTTTAAAGCCTTTTAATTATCATCTATACTGTACTTTTAAATGTACTTTTTCACCACCTACAACTTCACTCTTTTAAATGAGGCTTAGATTTTGTTTAAATCGCTTCAATGTTAGTTTACATGGCTGCCCTTCAACCAAAGGCTTTTTTATTTAAACCCCATTGAGAAGCTTTGTCTCAATCTGCCATGTACAAATACCTTTTTCTTCTTTCTTTCTTTCTCAAGCTTTTAAAGTAAGTCTAGTTTCCTCAAAATCTTTTTAAATGGCATTTACAACTTTTTACTTTACCACACAGAGATTATCTCATCTAGAAACATTTCTTTTTCCT